AGTAGGAAACTATTTGAAAAGAATTTTTATCAATACAAAAGGCTTTGGTATTCTTTTATAAGCGTATAACTTCCCTTTTCTGATCAAACTACAAAGAAAATAGATATTTTCCCCATCATGAATGTAGTCAGAAAACAAAATATGCCTAGGTTAAAAAATACAGACATATGAGCATAAATATGCATGTGCTTACACAATGTGTAACTAATAAGAACTTGAGAGCCATGCTGCAGAATGTCTTTTCCCACCAAGTCATCAACTTTTGCACATTGTATTGAGGCTAATATTAGTGTATTTAATATTGTGCTGTTCAATCTTATGGGCACAATTAAACTGCAATATAGAAACTGAACTTCTATTTTCAAATTATAGCGAATATAATTTTAGGATATTAACTAAAATGACTGAATTTTTTGCATTATGCATGAGTATTTGTAGCCAGTGTTAACAATTTCAAAGCATTTGGCTCAAAAGCACAAAGGTGACATAGATGCTTTAACTGATTGGCTAAACTAAGATTTGATGAGGCAATTGCTTGCGTCTATATCCTAATTTAAGCATGCGAAACACACTTTTTTTTTTACTATTTTCCAATAACTACAATTACATTTTTAGTTAACATTTTTCTTCACCTCTCATACTCAACATCAATTCATGTCATTTTAAAAACATGCTTCAAAAACAAAGCTTTCCGAAAGTACCAACGTTCTGTCCCTGCTACATTTTTCAGTCATGCTAACCAGTAACTTGGATACTAAAAATTGTATTTTATTGCTAGCTCCTTGTTTTGACTTCTACAGAATGATCCTAGACATCTGTGTCTGTATGTACTGAAAACCTAACATAATCAGAGTGCTCTTGGATGTACTGGATCATAAACAATATTGATTGTTCTTATCATTTTGTTTTTGTTTTTTTCTGCTCAAAATTGTTTAAAAAGCCTATAAATGTGGCATCAGGGTAATAATAGATAATAAAATTTAAATGGAAAAACACAAAATCATAGTTAGAAAATTAATATAAGAAATTTATAAATCAGAATATTTTAGGAATGTACTTCTAATTATACAGCTTAACATTATTTTATATAAAGTCCTCTTGAATAATATCTAAATCAGTTTGTTGAGTTCCAGTACTGACTTTAGTGATCATTTATGAGATGCTTTCCACACCCCAAAACCTTGGTCTTTAGATGATTTTTAAATATCACTGATTTTCAGAGATGATTTCAAGGAACTTGCTTTGTAGTATTTAGTGAATTCTTCCATAAATCTCTTATAAGAAGGCATTACCCATCCATACTTGTAACCTATGCATAATAATTTAAAACCATAAACATATGAAATTACACCTGGAGGTTTATTCTAGGATTTTTTTCAAGTGAATTGGAAGAACTTGCCCATGAGCAATCACCATGCTTACCCATATCCAGGAAATTAGGAGACAGGGTCACTAAGGAGAAGTTTTGCAAAGCAGCTCTCAGAAAGTAATGAGTCCCTGGTTTGCTTTCTTAGAATAAAAAATTCTATCTCAAACAAAGTATCTTAGCTATTTATAAAAGTGTACAAAAAACAATGAATGAAATCGTTCAGATATCATTAAACCCTCTTACAGCATTTGACTCAGGGATTAAGACCTTTAGTTCTATCACAAAATATTTGAGAAATTAGGAATTGATCAAAAGAACCACCAAATTTCATGAAATGCATTGATGAAATTGCTCTGTGAGCATGAAGTTGAATTGTATGCTTTTGTTTCTTTGTAATTATACCAGTGAATTTTAAAAGAAAATGTAAGTCAAAATTCATCATTGTTGTTAATTCAGATTAACAGCCTACTAATCTATATTAGAAGTCCCTATCCTTTTAAACATTTCAGAAGTAAAACTATTTTAATTAATACCTGGTATTATTTTACTTTAGCATAACTACGATTGTTTTATTTGTGTAGCTAGAACTCATTTTATTACTTTGGAAAAAATCATTATTCTTATGTGAGACAAAGTTTCATTTCAAAAATATGCATGTATTAGTGGCTACCTTCACGAAACACTAAGTATGCTATATTTTATCCAACAATATTGGTAGATGACTCCAAACCCGGTATGGTATTAGAAAAAGATAAATAGATATACTGAATAAAGTAAATGACAGATTCTTTTTGTAGAATCTAAATAATAGCTAATAGAAAAATGGTCTGCCCTCTGGGGAGAAAACATATACAATTCTTCCTGCTTGAATAATGAAGTCCTACAGTTAGTCACTATGTGTTACTGGGCATTTCACTTCCAGATTGTTTGAACACATACCAGAAAGAAGAACATAGTAAGAATAGTACTAGTATCTACACAGAGACTTGTGACTGCATTTAGTATTTATGTTTTACATCCAAGGTTATTTGTTAGATGCTAGAAAAAAGTGTGACCTCAGATAAAGTCATGAAAAATCCATAACTGCCTTTAAGAACTTCTTACCCCACCATTTCATTCACTTTTTTCTTTTGGAGGCATCCATTTTCAACCTCAGTATTCTGGTACTCTGAAGTTTTGTTCATCTTTTGTTATAACAAAATCTATACTATATTATAGAAAAGTTCTGACCTACAAATTCCATGATGTTTCTAGATGTCTTCATTTTAGGATGGGCAAAAGGTTTATGATTAAGAAAGACCTCTATAATGGTACAATTTCTAGTCTTCAAAATAGGCTGTAGGGACCTTTGGTGGTGGTGGTGGTGGTAGAACTTATTCTCTGCTCTCACTCCTAAGATTCTGTTTTAGCACCATAGTTAAGTATTTAATGGACATTAATATTATTCCTTATGTTCTGTAAAATATCAATGAGTTGCCAGGCATGGTGGGGCATACGTATAATCCCAGCATTCTGGAGAATGAGGCAAAAAGGTTGCAGTTTGAGCCCAGGTTGGACAAATTAATAAGTGAGAATTATCTCAAAATAAACAGAACACAAAAGGGTTATGGAAGTATCTTAGTGTAAAGACTCTGGGTTTATCCTCAGTATCACACGAGGGGATTTTATCCCTAATATCCCTAATATCACTGTTTATCATCTTTACATGGTTGATCTTGACCAATACATTTTAGGTAAATGAAATTCAACTCAAATAACAAATTTGTAAAAGTATTAGTACATATATAAGCATTATATAAATTTTGATTTTCTTTTTCAGATTATAGCACTATGAAAAAGTAAATTTACAAGTATGGCTGAATAAGTAATGAGGAATAAATTTAATTAGTGATTTGATATAGCATATTCCTTGGCATTTAGGAATGAACTTACAAATGGTAACTTAAAAAATTACTTAATTATAACTACATGACAAAGAATGATATGAGGTAATTTTAAAAACTAAAGTATTTGTTTCCTAGTCTTGAATACATAGAACAAAAGTACATATAACATAAACAATATAGGTTTTTCAATTATTTCAGATTTTACATAAGGAGATTCTTAATTGTATTGTTATTAACTCTACTTCAATTGGTGCTTGTGGAAAACAATCTGCTAGAGATATTCTCTCAGAGTACACAGATCAGCAAGAAAGTATGGTCTTTGTGATGTTCAAGTGCCTTTCTAAGGGGCTAGAGAAGAGTTGTTAATTGAATTACACATATATAGAACACTCAGTGGCCTGAAAGTATGTGCCTCTTTGTCAGGGCTCATATCCCTTCTGATTTTGACAAGGAAGACATGTAAATAGAAAATTCCAGAGTAGAACAAAAAGTACATTTATAATGCAGTAAGAAAACAAATTACATGACATGAAAGTCTGATCTGCAAATCTATGGGTGAATAAGGCAAATATTGACCCTTGAACTTCAATGACCATTAGCTATCTTTGATAACAAACATATAATGTAAGTGAGATGCATTTGAATGTATTAATACAGATTACACTTGTTCATTTGAAAAATAAGTCACATTAAAAATTTAAAGATCTTCATGCTGCTGGATTTTATATCTTGTAATATAATTTAAGTAAAATGGAAACTTTGAGGTCAATAAGTAGTTAAGTTTTAAACATGAAAAATCATCATAATCCATAAGGCCATTTATATGTAACAGAGAAATTACTTATTAGGAAAAGTTGTCCATGAACAATTAAAGACATTAATATAGAGCTTAGTAACAATTTACATATTAGTGACAACAAAGCACTTTTATATATACTACTTTTTGCTCTAAATGATGAGCAGTGTTCTAAATTTGATAGGCAATTTAAGTTTTTAAATTTTCACTTCTAAGGAAAGGTTATGGTTTCTTAGTCTAAAAATACATGTTTCGTGAAGGAAAAAATTACAATATCCTTGAAGATTATATCCTAAACAAAATGAAGATACATTACTTCTCCGCTTTTTTCCAGTCAGAATATTTTTAACATTCTAGATAACCCTTAATGAATATAATTTGTCATCATCCAAAATAATATCTTGATATTTCATGCTGAAGAAATATGCAAATATTTGAGAAAAACAATTTTTTTGCCACTCTACAGCATGGAAAGTAAAAAATGATCAGTTAGGGGACGTTACTGGATAGATTTTAATTCCTATTTTAAAATTTAATTTTCCAATGTTTATAAATTACTATCTTATAACCTGATTTAAATGAATTCTATGAACTATCATGTAGTTTCTTCCATATGTATATGTACTTATAATATTCAAAATTGTATACAAAATGAAACCTGTTACTTTCCTTTTCCTCCATATTTTAGATTGAAATGACTTTTAACTTTTTGTAATTATGCTTCACATGTTGTCAAATGAAGGCAGGTTTTAATGTTTGGGTTTTACTCTCAGATTCATCACAATTAAGTCTACTAGGATAAGCTGTGAAGAGATCATTTCACAAACAAATTTTCAAAAGCATACAAGATTAATCCATATGCTGCTGAGATGAGGCACAATAAAGAAGCATTACTGAGATAATCTATGGCTAAAATGATGGTGTATGACTTATGATTAAGCTTCATTACCTGCAGAGCAAGGGGCTTCCATCTCATATTTTTCAGTAAAGCTGGTGCTGAGGTAAGCATGCTCTGAGGTCGCTTTTTCAAAGTTAAGATAACACCACTCGGGTCCTCTCGTAGTGCATTCACCAAATTTTTCAACTGCCACCCCACCTGGTAACCAGCAAAATCATTACAATAAAATTGAGGTACAGTATTCAAAGATTTAATGTTTTCCCCATTTATAATAAGATTAGTAAAAAAATCACATAATTGGTGTATCATCCTATCAATTTCAGGAGATATATACTCAAGAAAGAAATTATCTTTGAACTGATTAACCATGTCATTGCATAAGAGTCCATGTAATCAGAGAGACAATATAATGGACATTTACCACGTTAAATCAGAGAATGAAATGATATCCTGCCACTGGAGTAATTTAGAATATAAAGAGGTTATATCACCACTGATGATGCTCGGCTGCCAGATCTAGGTCCAAGCTCTGTTCACAAGTACAATGGAAAAATCCTCATGCCAGGAAATAAAGATTTGGCAATATTCTGAGTCTATACACTACACCACATGCTTTCTCATCACTATCTTTGAGAGATACATGGTTACAAGTGGCTAAATTACACTCACATTGTACTACCAATTGCTGGTACTGACATACCAAAGGCAACACTCTGATGCAAGTATAAAAGGATCACTAAGATAAACCTTTTCCATGCTAGAAAGATAGAATAAAAAATGACAAGGTAATGCCATTGCAAGGCAACAGCTATTGAAAATATACTCCATCCCTTAAAACATATAATGTGATAAATTTGGTGAAGCCATTCTATTTGAATATTAGCTCAAAATATATTGTATAATTAATTTCTTGAGAAATGTTTTGAAATATGACTCAATGGTTACTCATGTTAAATTACTTCATCAATCATCCTTTAAAATTTTTGAACACGATATAATTTTTGTTAGTTTTCTTTTTAAGTGGACTAGTGATGCAGCATTAGGTAGATGAAATCCTACAACTCTGCTTTAAGGAAACACATTGATGTACCTATTATTCCAATGATTGTGTTTTAAAAAATACGCTTCACATTTAGAATGTAGAAGAACATTTTATCTCAACTCCAATAGACTATAATTTCCAGATTGTCTTAAACAAGTACAGCGGGTCAAAATTTATCCCAGACTGAAAACAGGACCTAGAAAGTAGTCTAAATAGTGACCTAGCTTATTCTGCAGAACAAAATGTTAAGAGAATGGATGCCTATTATATGCTGTTTGCCATGTTTTTGCCTGGAAAACACTACTCAAGATGGAGAGAATAAACTTCCTCCAAAAGAAGCTAAGACTCCTAGAGACTAACAAGAAGTAAGCTGGAATGCAGTTACTGTAGTACAACAGCATACATATTTGGGGACAATTAGTAAGCATTTTATAACCTCAAATATAGATGAAGTGTGTGATGATGAAGAGGAGTCAGGAGAAAAGAGCAGCAAGATTTTTGTGACGCTGCACATCTTGGAGATTTGGAATATGAATTAAAATCATCATTATAATACCTGGTTAATCTTAATAAGATGGTGCTAGTTTTTTAAAAAAGTAGTTAATAAGACCACCTATTGTAATGGAGCTGGTCAAATGTTCCCTATATAATGCAAGTGAATAATGTGTCCTAAATGTACATTCTATTAAATCTCATGTTCTTACAATCATTTCTTCAAGCTAAAAGCCAAAGTAAATGAAGTTCAAATCCAAGTGTTTATTTTGTATGATTAAAAAAATGAGAGCAAATTTTCAGTCAAGCAGAGGGAGTTTGTTGTTGCACTGGGCATGGTGGCGTACACCTCTAAACACACAACCATGGGAGGTTAAGCCAAGAGCATCAGAAGACCGAGCCAAGCATGGGCAGCTTAGGGACCCAACAAGACGGTGACTCAAGATAAACAATAAAAAAGGTTGGGAAGGTGCAAAGGCCTGGGGATCAATCCCTAGTCCTGCAAAATAAGTGTTGTTTATTCAGAGTTTATTAACAATTTAATGATGGCTATTTTATTACTTGATTGAAATAATTCTAACTATACTAAAGCAATGATGAAAGCATCAATAAACTTTTCCTGTTTTTCTTTCACTCTCTATATATACACACACATATCTCAGTACACACACACACACACACACACACACACACACACACACGCACACATACACACACACTGTAAAGCGATTCCAAAGTAAAAGCCATAGTTCTTCCAGCATATCTAGTCTCAACAGTAAATTGCACATCAATTTCTTTTCATTTTATTCTCTAATATATTGTTGTGACAGTAAAGGTTTTTAAGGTCTGAAGGTGTTTCCTATGAAATAGTGTAATTTGATTCATCTCGTTCTTTGGCACTTTTGACATCTTTTTGGAGTGATATTTTTAAAATAGGATTTTTTTCCCTGTGGTAAATATCTCTAACTCCAAAATTCTACTTCCTGTGCCATGAAGAAATATCTAGACAAACACAAAAATAATTGTGCAATGTATGTCACAGTTTTAAGACAACTAAAAGTTATACATTATGTAAATGTCCCCTAGTCAGGGATACAAAAATAACTGTATGGAACAAAGATCTCTCTCCCTCTCTCTCTCTCTCTCTGTCAAGAATTAAAATGTTGTATACCACCCATAATAATGCTTAGAATAGAGGACGACCCAGACTACAATATATATTATGTTCTTTCACTTTCATTTTCTGAACTACTGGCAATAAGCATGAGTTGCTTTTATAAACAAGAAAAACAAACTTCATGAGTGTAGTTTATGAATAATGATATTTCAATTAGAATATCATAAATGTTATGAATCAACTAGTCAGGCCCATGTGTAATAAATACGAATTTTCTGCAACAGATTTAGGAAGAAAGCCTGATCTAAAACACTAAAAGGTGGTTTTGAGAAAATTAATTATTCTCTGTACATGTATTATTTTTGGTGGTGCCAGGAATCAAACTCATGACCTTGTGCTCGTCAGGCAAGCACTTATTCCACTGAGCTATTTTCCCGGCCCCCTGTACATGTTTTAGATAGTTAGCTAAAAAGGAATTCAAACTTATTAATTGCGTGTTATCAATAAGTTTAGAACTACATTACCTTCTGACTTTCATTCAGTGAATGATTTCAATAGATACTTCATTTAAACAGTAACCCAGTTTCACTAAGAAATTACTAAATGGTAATAAAGCCTGCCAAGTAATTCACAACCTAGTAACATATGTAGGTTTTAGCTACCCCTGTCCTACTTGTGTTCTGTATATACATGAACAATAACAAGGCCTCATGGTTTTCTTATTTGAATAGTCCTTTGTTTCCTTGTCCTTTTTAAAACTTAATTTGGATCATTTCCAAATTATTGTCTATATTCTCTACTTAATGTAATTCTTAATAGTTGTTTTCATTTTATTGGCAAATAGCATGTAGTCTTCTAGAGCTCCAGGAAAAATGATTCCTGCTTCTGGTTCTGTGATACAATACCATAATTTCAGCCATACAATGATGTGTAATGAATTCTTAAAGTTAATTCATCACCCTTTGTCATTCGTACTCTTATAGATGAAAAGAGTGTGGGGGAACACGAGTAAGCGGTGATAAAATAAAAGGGCTATGTACTATGCTGCAACATCAAGAAGGCTGGAAGCCCCCATGCCAGGAGCTACATGGAATACTTCACACAAGTCAAAATATATCAAGTGTAAGTATGTAACAATCAGTTTTCAATATTAATTTTCATACTTTCTCATTTAAATTTCTGGGTTTAGTTTTAAAATATTAAGTATGATATACTTGAATTAGAAATTATGTAAAGTTTTGCAGTTAATACAAAAAATTATTGTAATCTTTCCATTATGTAGTAGGAGAGAGGAGGAGCTATTTTTTTCTATGTATGTATTTGGTACAGGATCTCACTACACAGCTCAGACTCGTAATGATCCTCCTATCTTCAGCCTCCCCAGCGTTGGGATTACAGGCATGCTCAAGCAGACCCAGACTTGGTTGCTGACTCAGACCACCCTGGGGGCAGGGCTGGTGTGGCATGCAGGACTGAAGATTGAACCCTGGTCCCTGAGCTTGCCAAAGTAGGCGCTTAGTCCACTGAGCTACCTTTCTGGCCCTGAGGACCTTTGAGGGAAAGTTGAAGGAGATATTGGGCTACTAACATAAGATTACAATTATCCTACTATGGGAAAGAACCAAATAAGACACAAAATTTATAGAGATATAATGTTATGAAGATATATGAAAATAAACATTTTAATCAAGATATCCAAAAAAATTGGATATTTGTCCAGGACAAATGGTTATATAACTTCCAAACTCAACAACATACTGCAACTCTAGCATACAGAGTGGGTAAGCACAAGCAAACAGATAGTAACAGATTAGCTTGAGTAAAAGAATGTGGTGCAGCTACATCCCTGCCTATGTGTCCTGTATGATCTCTTCTTCCTCATGAACAGTGAATGTAGATGTTTCCTCTAGCCCAATGATGATGAACCTTTCAGAGTTTTCAGTGAGAACAGCCTGCTGCAGCACACATTGCCATAGGCTCGCCACCACCACTCTAGGCTAAGTGTTAGCCACATTTGTCATATTTTATGTTGTCATTTTACAATGATCTTTTTTCTTTCAAGACTTCACAATTTCCCGCATATGATGACAAAATCAAACCATCTCTACTTCCTAGAAACAATTGCGGTCACATATTCCCAACTGTTTAGTTCACTGATGCTAACATAATGGTAATCAAGCATCAACAATTCACTATGCTGGACTACTTATATTAAAGTCAACCTACATTTTCATTGTTCGAATAATCAATGAGACAAATTATTAAACCAAATTTGCACTTGAAGAAAGTGCATCAGAAAGAGACTACTTTCCTGACTAAGCTCACAAAGACACTGTGTGGCAGTCACAATTTACCTGCAAATATCAATCCTACAGCATAGTATTCTCATTCACATATCCACTGGCAGCTCATATGAAAGAGACATTTCTCTGATACTGGCAATTAAACTCAGGGCTTGATGCATGCTAGATAAATGCCCTCTGATTGAAGGACATTTCAAGCCCTTTCCATTTTAAAATTTTGAAATGTCTCCATAAGTTGCTTAGC